TTTGTGAACTTTCTTCCATGTGCTATGTGAAGGGCAAGGACTATTTCATTATGTTCTAGAAAAAACAGCGATATAATTAGCATGTATTTGCTACTTACTATATTCTAGGGCCTTGGCTAACAAGGATTTTTCTTTCTTTTTGTTTTTGCAGTTTTTGGCTGGGGCCGGGTTTGAACCTGCCACCTCTGGTATATGGGGCTGGTGCCCTACTCCTTTGAGCCACAGGTGCCGCCCAACAAGGATTTTTCTAATTTAATTTTTATCCTATGAAGTGGTTTCCATTATTACCCCCCATCTGCAGATGCAAAAATGAAGGCTCAGGGAGGTTAAGTAACTTCTATAAGATCACCCAGCTAATATATATGATGTATGTGGTAAAGCAAGGATGTGAACTCAAGAAGCTGCACTAAAACTTACATTCATGCATATGCTGCCTCAATTTTAATGTGTCAAAGAATAAATAAAAAATGCCTGATTTATGAGACTCGTTCTCTGTGGATCATTTTATCTACAGGAAAAACAGTGACTGGAGGAAACTGTCTTATCTGATACTAGTTAGAGTATTGGGTTGTGAACCTATGAACAGAGAACCAAATGCTGTATTTAAATCTGAAACGTAGTTCTGGGCTTCTGTTCTTGTTTCTGTGATTTAGGTCTGAATGTTATTTAATGTGCTAATTTAAAGAGGGTCAGATAATCCTGCCCTCAAAGAGAAACATTTCTACTCCCTTTAAAAAAACTGTTCATTCATGTGTATTTGTTCATTCACACATACAGGTAAGTTTATCATAAATATTTATATTTGTTCCCATAAAGGCATACAGGGAGCACTGCTAAGGTTAACAGAACCAATATTTACTGAGTGCTTAAAATGTGCCAGGCGCTGTTCTAAGTAGATTACTTAGAATGTGGTGTCTTCATTTAGTTCTTCCCACAAGCCAATTCCAGGAGATGAACATTATTAGTATCTCCATGCTATGGAGAGAAACAGGAGGTCAGGTTCATGGTCAGGCTCAGGGCCACACAGCCACGATTCCAAAGCTCAAAGCCCACTCAGCACTTCCGGAGAAACTTCCAAGCTCTCTCTCAGTAACAATCAGCCGGTAACACCGTCAGGCAGAGCACTGTGCTGGAGCCGCCACCCGCAAGTCCTCTGCAAGACATACCTGGGCTGGAGAGAGCTCCACCTTTCCTGGCTCTGTGACCTTGTGAGGTCACTGGGAAAATGGGAATAGCAATGCCTTGAAGAGTAAGGACTAATGAGACCAGTCGTGTTCAGCACAGGACAGCCCGTGAATATTATATATATTAATATATTAACACACACATATATATATATATATTTTTTTTTTTTTTTTTTTTTTTTGAGACAGAGCCTCAAGCTGTCCCCCTGGGTAGAGTGCCGTGGCATTACAGCTCACAGCAACCTCCAACTCCTGGGCTCAAGTGAGTCTCCTGCCTCAGCCTCCCAAGTAGCTGGGACCACAGGTGCCCGCCACAACGCCCGGCTATTTTTTGGTTGAAGCCGTCATTGTTGTTTGGCGGGTCTGGGCTGGATTCAAACCCGTCACCTTAGGTGTATGTGGCTGGTGCTTAGCCACTTGAGCCACAGGCGCCGAGCCGTATTAACATATTATTATATTATTACTTAGTTCCCACTCTTGAGAAGCTGGAGTGAAAGGACAGGAAATCACGTTGCTAACTACAAAACGGTCCATAAAAGAGGCTCATTCAAGTCACAGCAGAGCCTTGAAGGCAGGTGAGTGGGTACAGAGAGGAATACCGAGGAAAGAACTGGTAAACAGCAGTCAAACTGCAGAGGGCGTTCTAATTAAAGCCAAATCCGAGACTCCCTGTTTCATAAATTTATTTTGCGTACTGTGCTTAATGCAAATGCAGACATCCTGTCACTGGCAGACTGAATACATAGTATTTACTGAGCACCTGCTATGTGCCAGGCACTGCCTCACGGCTTTGCAGGGCTTTCTCATGTCCTGGGTATCATTTACCGCTCACAACACGCAGAGGTGTTGACACATCCGTTGGTTTTGATTAGAGCTTAGTGATTTTCTACATTTGAGCGGGCAGGAGACGGTGGCCTCCCTGCAATGATCTGAAGCCCCGGGGGCTCCCAAGTCTGCGTCTGTGCCACGGACATTCAAATCTGTATTTGTGCAACACCATGAGTCACAGAATAAAAACAGTAACTTAATACAGTGTCAATTTACCTTTACAAAAGTAAGAAAGCAAGGTTCCTGGCCCCTCCCCCGCCTTTTTTTTAGAGACAGAGTCTCACTTTATCACCCTCGGTAGAGTGCTGTGGCATCATAGCTCACAGCAACCTCCAGCTGTTGGGCTTAGGCAATTCTCTTGCCTCAGCCTCCCGAGTAGCTGTGACTACAGGTGCCCACCACAACGCCTGGCTATTTTTTGTTGCAGTTTGGCCGGGGCTGGGTTTGAACCCGCCACCCTCCGTATACGGGGCTGGCACCCTACTCACTAAACCACAGGTGCCGCCTTCCTAGGCCCTTTATTCGTGGCTTCTAGCACTCATCTTTCTCCTATGCTGGAGGTGTGTTAGGAGTTTCAGGATTTGAAACTCACTTTTCTTCCAATCCCGAGCTGGCAGCCTGAGCTGCTCTTGCCCCCCATCCCAGCGGAAGTCGCCAGTACCAGCGAGTAACCAGCCCAGTGTTCCCGACAGAAACCTGAGGTTCACCTTCTCTGTCTCTGCGTCTCCTCCAGCCCCTAGTCTATGGCTCTTCCTTCCGCGTCTTTCCTGCCCAGGCCCTCCTGCCCCTGGCCTGGGAGACCACATTCTCTGCTCTCTCTCTAGCAGCATCTCCTGTCCCCACCAGGTGCCCGCTGGCCCCACCCCACTTAGACAGCCTTCTTAGAGACACTGGATCACTTGTCCAATCCTTTGACTTTGGACCTGATTTTCCTGATTCTGGGGATATCTTAAGGCTCATCTTCAAATACACAATTCCCATATGCTTATATTTTCTCCAACCCATTTGCAAGACAAATAATAAGAGTATTATCTGTTTCCTGTTTTCTCCTCTGGACTTCCACCAAATTCCAAAGACTCACGGCTAAGCCATAATGAAAGGCTGGAGGACACGTGAATTTTGGTGCCTTCAAATCAGCGGTCCCTTCGTCTGCAGGAGTCAGTGCCCCCAGCTCCCTCCCCTGGGCTGTGCAGGCAGTGAGCACCACCCACAGAGAGCATTTATCCTGTTGGGGAGATGAACCCCCGCAGTGTGTCTGCCAGACCAGGTAACGTCCATACAGGTTTTGTGCTTTCCTGTAGAAACACGCTAGTCTTCAGTCAAGAATAATCAGCTCCTGAGTTTTCGTGACAATCCTGAATGTGCTTTATCAAATTTAATACCTCTTGTTAACAAAAATAATGGTGAACAAAAAGTAAATTATTTTAATATCATAAAATGACAATACTGAGCCTGGTCAAGATAGTAAAAATTCTATCCTATTTGACTAACGTACATAAAGCCCTAGATCTCCCTCAGGTTACCTCTGAAGTACATTTGGAGCTTAAAAATAAACAAAGGAGAAGGCTCAGTTACTGGCATTAGATCATCCCAGTTGGGAAAGGATTTACGCAACTTAAATTATTGTTTCCAATACATCAATATATCAATGCTTATTGAAACAAAAAGCCTAGGAAACGCGAGGAAACTCTAACAGTATGATGAGAACTACTTAGCCCTGAATGCACTTTGTGTTGGGGAATAATTTACCTTTGTTTCCAAATCTGTGACATTTCTGGAGATGGAACCACACCACAGCCTTAGCTGCAAGAGCATTCTGAGAAATGAGCTGACTGGTCCAGGGGAGAACATTATCATTATTAATGTTTTTTTTGTTTAATTAAAGTTTTAGTCTAGTTGCAGAGATTTAGTCTAGTGTTCATAGATTAAAAAAAAAAACCCAACTGTTTAACACCAGGGATTGGATAAAAGTTCAGATTATTTTTTTAGTCTAAAAAAGTTACAAAATGATTATTTTTGTCATCTCCCTTTATTAAACACTCAATGTGGATATTTGCCAGCACACTGTCTTTCCACAATTTGAAAAAAAGCACTTTTAAAAAAGTAGCATTTGTTTCTTACTCAAAGTTTTAAAAGGTAGGGCCAAATCCAATCCCATATAGGCCCTGAGAGTTCTCAGCAGGGCTCCCGTCCCAGGCAACCTGCTAATAATAGATCATTCATTCCTGTTTATTTTAAGACCTCTCCCAACGAGTTGGGGTTCACGACATAAATGCATTTAGATAAAGCTATCATAAACAGGGTATGCTAATGCAAACCTAGCCCTTTATTAAAGGAATTCATTTATGGTCCCGTGAATGTAAAATAGCAAGTCAGATGGTTATCTCAGATGTCATCCAACATCCTGGACTGCAAAAATGTTCTAGCTATAGGATTAAAATAGAAAAACCTTTGCAGAGCGTTAACCTATCATTACACAGAGTAAATGGCATGGCACTGCCACCTAATTAGCAGTGTGGCTTGCATCTATAAAATAGAATTAGCACGACTGCTCCTTTTTTATTATTAGTTTGTGTTTCCAGAAAGGTATGACCTTATCCGCATGGGTCTGTTCATTTATGCCCATCTACAAAGGATTTAATTATATTCTTTTAGTTCTCCACACTAAAGGAAATTGAAAACTGCCACTTCAAAATTAAAAATGTAAAAGAAATTAGTGAGCATATTACTTAGGCCACCACCCTTTTTTCAGGGATAAAGAATGGAAATGTGTTCAAATAAATAAGGCATACTATTTTCAGAAAAGTAAATTCTAGGCAAGGAGATTATTCCTAGTCATCTTTTTTTTCCTTTCTCTTTCCCACGTGTATTCTGCAAGTTTCTCTAGTTGTCCTGGATGGAGCTAGACAAAGGGAAGATGTATCACTACTAGAAAACTCCTGAAAGTTATGTCACATTACAGTCAGCAGCCAAAAAATATCCACTTACATCTGAGGAAGGTGATTCCAGAACAATGCCAAATCCCAGGACCTGGCCGTCCTGCGTGGAGGCGTGCTCGGCGGCCTGGACACCGGCCTGCTCAGAGGCCACAGCTGTCTTCTTCTCCATCTCCGACACGCTGGGCTTCTGCTTCACAGTAAGAGGTTCGACAGACTTTGGAGGAACTTTTTTCTTTTTATTTCTCTTGCGTGAGACAGAAGTTCGCTGGGAGCACATAAGGGAAATTGGGGGTTGTTGTCTGTTTTGAGTTCCAACTGTGAACAATAAACAAAAATAGGGTACAAGGACAGGCACTTGTGTCTAAGTCAGGGAAACGTGTCCTCGGCCTACAAACCGAAGCTGCAACGAGGCTCACTCAAGGATGGAGCACGCCGAGCAAAGCCCATCTCTGGGTGGGCTTAAAGGCTATAGAACAGAGCCCCCAGAGCAATCCCAAGTCCTAACAGCAGAAAAACACCCAGCAGAAAGCCTTGGGGCAAACGCTGGTGAATTCACCCAGTGCACTGCTGCCGCTGGGTCCAATGGAAGGAAAGGATTTTGAGCTATAACTTTGCAAATCACACAACATTTTTAAAGAAATGAGAACTTGGGAACTTAAATTTAGTTCCAAGCATTCTGGCAAGCCCATGGCAGGAATATTCTATCACTGGGATTTAATCTGGCCACTTGCTAATAATTTACCGGTGCAAAGACTGGCAAAGATGAGACAGTGATGATTATTTGGCCAAGACTGACCAGAAAAAGCAGCATGGAATGATTTTCTGACAGGGACCAGACAGCACGTGGGAAAAGCCTGTCAGTCAGTCGGGCCCAGTCACCCCTTCTTCACCAACTATTCCGCACATCGACGACCTGCACAGGGTTTCCGGTCAGCCTACTTCTCTAGACCTCAGATGAAAAAAACAAGCGACAGAGTTCTGTGCAAGTTGAGCAAATCAGTACAACCTAGAAACAGTCTGAGTTCCAAAGATGAAAAGCACAGCACAAGCACCGAGTACCCAAACTGAACTGTACTAAAGGAGGCCCGGAGGGTGAATACCATTTTCACAGGGGCACTCCGCGAAGTGAGGTCTGTGAGCATTTAACAGAGCTCTGAGGGAAAGCTAAGCAGAAGAAACAGCACCATTATTTAAATCCTCAGCTTCCTAACCTTGACCACAGCATATACCCTGCTCTTTCACAGCCAGGAACCTATAAGGATAAGCCAAGTGAAAACTCGAGGTCCTTAAATACATAGGAACAGGAATCATCTTCACTTATTTCCTATTGGTCTGAAAATAAAGATGATTTACACTTTGATACTGTTATTTCTGTCTCCATGCTAGAAAGAAATTCCCAAGTATCAGAAACAAACCAGCTGTACTATGTGAGAGCACAGAAAAGTTTTTAAAGCAGTGGCGGGTCTGGGTCCCTGGTTCTTGACCTTGGCTGCACATCAGACTCACCCTGGAGCCCCACCAGGGGAAGGTGAATCAGCATCCCCAGGGGTGCGGCCTGGGCGCTGGTACTGTGCAGCCAGAGTTGAGAACTTGCCTCTGTGTCCCCAGAGTCAAAGGGACGACGGGGCAGCAATCGTGATGATCTAGGCCACAGACCTCTCTAAGCCTCGTGATTTTAAATTAAATTGAAAATGTTTTTGGCTTCAAGAACTGAGAGACTATCTTAAGTTTGTCTTCTCCTCTTGTGAATCTAGACATGGCCCGAGCCTCTGGCATCCAGATCTTAACGCTAGATCTTATTTCTTGCCTTCTTAAGATAAAGGTGAAGTGTTCTAAATGTAATTTAAATCTAAGTCTTTGGGCAATAAACCTTAAGTAAATCTCCCCACACGACACAAATTTTTAAGTTTAAGAAAATTAAAGAAGAGCAATTTATTCAGTTTATCCTCCGTGCTGGCCCGCAGCTTTGGAATCATTTACCTCCCTAATCTGCAAAGGTTCAGGAAAGAAAACATGGTGACAAAGTGGCATTTACTTAATAGATTCTAAAAAGGCTTCAGTCAAGGATTTAAATGGTTGCAATCCGTAGTTTGCCATTTCAATAGTAAGGAGCTTAAGTGACAAAATAAATCATTACAATTTTATATGCATATTTCCTTAAGTGCTAACAAATTCTTCCTCTGAGAAAAGAATCCATACATAATAAAGTAACCTTTCTGAGCTCCTTATTTAGGAGATGTTAACCTTTGCCAGGTTATGAGAACACAGATTATCCTGGCAGAACAAGGTGAGTCCAATGCTTACTGACCTGAGCAAAACACTTATTGTTTCCTTGGGATAAAACCAAATTCCGTCCTTACAAAGCTACTGCTTTTCAGAAAGTGGCTCACTTTACTTCAATATGATCTTGGGTGACTGATATAAGTATTAAGCTTTCTATATTAAAACCACATCACCGAATATTAAAATTTTCCTAGAATTAACTACATAGCACCCAGAACAGTTCCGAATGGTGACTGTCCTGAATTCCGTCACAGGGGACGGCTGGGAAAGCCAGTCCAGACACCAACGTGATGTCTATTCTCCTGCCTTATGCTAAGATCAAGTAGCACTTTCTCCTGACAACACGGAAGGTTTAATGAAATGATTTATTATTTCTTGTACTTGTGACCAAAAACTGTTTCTCCCCCAATGGTGAAGACTGGGAAACACAGCTGCCAGCTTCCCCCTTCTATGGAGTGTTCCAAGGTCTTCAGTCGACACTGATGAGATAAAGCCCCGCAACGTCCATGCACACTTACAACCTCGGGAGGTAGATATTAACCCTCCACTACAGATGAGAAACTGGAGCCTCCGAGAAGTCCCACGGCTGGAAGACGGGGCTCCGAGTGTCCAATCCCAAACCACAAACTCACTGCTCTCCTGCTCAACATGCCTACGGGCCTCCCAGTAGTGAGAACAAAAGAGGGGGCATGAAAAAAAGAGGACAGGATGGGAGAGGAAAGCTGCGAGCAGGGCCTGGGGCTCAGCGTTTCTTGTCTGCTTAGGCCTCGAACACCTTCAGCCCCGAAGGGTGGGGCTTCCTAACGACTTCTCCACACGCAATGGCTCCAAAATATAATCAACCAACCTTTGTGCAGCACCAGGACATGGGGTACAGCATACTGAGCACGCGTGTGTAAGCGTACGGCTGTATTACTAGCAATCAAACTTTTGTTTGACTTGTTAGAGGAAAAGGGGGCTGCAGAGGAAGCTAAGAAAATGGATATTTGAAGAGCACAGCAAAATGGCAAGGTGGGAAGATCACTAAAGAAAAGCACGACCAGCATCCCGACTGAAGATGTCAGATGCGCATTAAAAACCAAAGGGCGCATTCTGAGGCCTGGCCCCCGTACCTGCTTGAATTTGCATTAATTTCCTCATGGTCTTGAGCTCTTGGAGAATGGCCTGCAACGTTGACTGGCAGTTACAAGTACAGCAGTTCGATCCAACTGATGAATTCACCACTGGAAGTTCTCCTGAGCATGAAAGAAAAGAATGACATACTCCGAACAGCCGGAAAAAAAAAATAGTGAAAGAGGAGGGGGAAAAAAAGTATCTTGACAGGATTTTGAAGCATGTGCAATTGTTATGAAGTTGTGCCTAAGGAAAACGCACCCAGTAATTTTCACAACCTAAATTTGGGGGTCTGACTTTATCTAATTATCTGGCTTGTATGCTGCGCGGCGTGGCCAAGGCAGAGCCTGCATGAGCATGCGCTCACAATGTACCCGCACACACAATGTGCCCGCACACACGGCAGGCCTCCCCACCATCACACCATTCATCTCAGATTACAATACCAGAAAGGCTCACTCTCAACACGGTCCTGCTAGCAGGCACAAAAAACCAGCTCTGAGAACAGATTTACAAAAAATATTGCTCGCTGTGTATATGGTTAAGTGTCTAACTATTAGAAAATAGCTGTTATAGTAAGCGTGATGTTTCAAAAGTGAAGAACTGTGAACACATGAAAACTTTCAGAATACAGTCTGGGTGCAGTGAGGCTGGGCGCGGAGGCACAGAGGAGGCAGCTATGGGAGGATGGATTTAACTTGCTGCCTGAGAGGAGGCTGGTGGGCTGGCTTTTCTCGACTGTACTAAAAGAAATCCTACATCTTTTCTCCATCCCCATGTCTTACATTTCCCTCACCGTGGCCTTTTTTTCACTGTTTAAATCTAACAAAATGATCCTATTCTGCCTCCCTTATATGTACACAAACTCTTCCTATTGTCCTTAGAATAAAATGGGACATGTGGCAACTTGCTCTCGCACTGGGATCCCTTCCCTCCGGCCCCGGAAGGTGTCATGTCAGAGAAGCTACCACTGAGGTTTGCTCATACGGGGGGCAAGGTAAGTTCAGCAGTTCAGTTCCAATTACATGCTTTATTACGCATTAAATATTACTTCAGTCCTATAACATGCATTATTTGGGATTACTACAGAAAAATTCACAACCATGTGTTCCACAACCACCAAGTACTTAAAGATTACCTACTGCCTGGAGTAGTACAATTGTTCACATTCAAAATTGTTGCAAACTGGGACGTTACAACTTTAAAATTGCCAAAAATTCCAGTGAAATACCAGAGTGGTCGTGGTTACATCTGATGCATTTCTACTGGAAATATACTGAGCAGTATCTATTTGGGGGGAATTTATGTTTGTAACTTTTATTAACATTAATAACATTTCCCCAAGTAAATGTACCATCCTTGCTGTATCCTGGAAAACAGAACACTGTTTATCCACCTTACTGAAGTGGGGCTTACTAATCTTACCCATACCTACGGGTATCAATTGTTTCTCTTATTATCTCTTCCTTGGTAGCAGAGTTAGAAGGGCTTTAACCTTAGTCACCGTCCTAAGTACCATCTTTATCACTTTTAGAGGGCAAAACCAACCCTTTTCAGCTCCTTATAAATCATTTTCTAATTTTAAAGGGGATGACTTTTTATTTTTATAGAGGAGTCTTTAAAGAGCCATCTCCCTCTGACCTGGAAGCCAGCCAGCACGGGAACTCGATACTGGCTTATGTAATATTGAGAGAAAGAATAGACACCCGGGCATCTCTGGAGTCCCTCATTCTCTCACGGCTGTCTTAGGGTGGCTGTTCATGCCTCTGAAATGGTTACTGCAACTTGTGGGTTTAAAAAAAATATCTAAACAGTTCTATGTTTCTTGAAGGATATCATGAAATGGAAGTGAAAAAAATCCTTAACTTTTCAAGGAAACCAAAAATGCCTTCCTAGGTTTTCTCGTTCTCTTTGTGAGAGTTTCAGATCTGTTCATCTACACGTAATGTACAGAACAAATAACATCCAGCGTCACTGGATGGAAAACTAATATGACCGGAAGAAGCATCAAAGCTTTGGGAAAAAAGAATTGAATTTGATTTGTTTTTGTTCATTTGATGTTTTCCTTGACAAATTAGGAGATTTAAATGAAA